GGTTAAGGGTAACAGAGAATTGGGAGATGGAGTATAGCCACAATGAAAGGCCAGTTAATAGCCTCAGGCGAACACTAATTTGGCCATGTGGGAAAGTCCAGGCTTTTTCCTTTTTGGGGTCTAGATCTCACCCTCATCAGATGTGGTTAGCATTTTCTATCAAACTGTCTTTCAGAATTATTTTGGATAGTTTTTCTAATATTGAACCAGCCCTGCATTCCTGGTATAAATCCTACCTAGTCATAGTGTATTACTCTTATGATAAGTTGCTATAATCTATTTGCTAATATTTTGTTTAAAATTTTTGCATCTATATTCATTAGAGAAGTTGGTCTATAATTTTCGTTCTCTGTTTTGACTTTTCCTGGTCTAGGTATCAGCACCATATTTGTATCATAAAAAGAATTTGGCAAGACTCCTTCTTCACCTGTTTTCCCAAATAGTCTATAATATATTGGAATTAATTGTTCTTTAAATGTTTGATAGAATTCGCATGTAAATCCATCTGGCCCTGGAGATTTTTTCCTAGGGAGTTCATCAATGGCTTGTTCAATTTCTTTTTCTGAGATGGGGTTGGTCCAATAATTTTTAAGTCATCTTTCCTGGATCTATTTTCCAGGTCAGTTGTTTTTTTCAGTGAGATATTTCACATTGTCTTCTATTTTTTCATTCTTTTAGTTTTGTTTTATAATTTCTTGATCTCTCATAAAGTCATTAGCTTCCATTTGCTCCATTCTAATTTTTAAGGAACTAATTTCTTCAGTGAGCTTTTGGATTTCCTTTTCCATTTGGCCAATTTTGCTTTTGAAGACATTCTTCTCCCCGTTGGCTTTTTGGGTCTCTTTTGTCATTTGGGTTAGGCTATTTTTTAAGGTGTTATTTTCTTCAGTATTTTTTTGGGTCTCCTTAGCAAGGTGTTGATTTGTTTTTCATGATTTTCTTGTATCACTCTCATTTCTCTTCCCAGTTTTTCCTCTACTTCTCTTACTTGCTTCTCAAAATCCCTTTTGAGCTCTTCCATGGCTTAGGACCAATTTATATTTTTCTTGGAGGCTTTGGATGTAGGAGCTTTGACTTTATTGTCCTCTTCTGGTTGTATGTTTTGATCTTCTTTGTCACCAAAGAAAGATTCTATGGTCTGACTTTTTTTGCACAGTTTGCTCATGATCCCAGCCAATTACTTGAGTTATAAACTCTTTGTTAAGGTAAGGGTCTGCTTACAGTGTGGAAAATGTACTGTCTCAAGCTTTGGAAGTTTTGTGCAGCTGTTTTCAGAGATAATTCTAGGGACCTGTAAATTTTCAGTTCTTCTAGGGTGGTCGATCAAGGGTGAGGTGTTTACTCCTTTCATGGCCTGTGCTCTGGTCTATGAGTGACCACAAGCCCTCTTTTCTGGATTGGAACTATGAGGAGGATTCCCTTTCCAGTGCCACCACAAGCTCCACCATGCCAGTGCTCCTCCTCATCCCAGGACTGCCACCCAGAACTGTGACCCAGATCCAAGCACAGGCAAAGCAAGAGAATCTTGCCTTAGCACCAGCAAAGAGATTCCTGCAATCCCCCTCTGATTAGCCACTTGATTCCCCCCTGTCTGTGGGCCAAGCTCAAGAAGCAGGTGCTGCCCCAGGGCTGGGACCTCTCTGTCACCATGGTCCGACAAACCTTTTCTACTGACCTTCTAAGTTGTCTTTGGTGTTTGTGGGTTGAGAAGTCCAGAAACCATCACAGCTGCCTATGATTCAGTCGTCTTGAGGCCTGCTCCAGGTTTGCTGAGGCCTGTTTTGCCTGCATGCCCATGCTAAACTGCGTTCTTCTCCCTTCTGGGTGTGATAGACCTTTCCAATCAATCATCCAGGTTGTCTTGAGCTGCAAATTTGTTTTACTCTGTCTTTTTGTGGGTTCTGCTGCTTTAGAATTTGTTTAGAGCCATTTTTTACAGGTATTTGGAGGGGTTTGGGGGAGAGCTCAAGCAAGACACTACTTTTACTCCTCCATCTTGGCTCCATTCCTGTGTTTAGTATTGATGCTAATTTTTTGTCTATGTTTTTTTTCCAGCAAAATGTGTTGTTGAGGCAAAGGTACTAGAGTACTTCACCATTTCTTTCTCCAGTGGATTAAGAGGAACAGAGTTTAAACAACTTGCCTGGGATCACACAGCTAATAAATGTCTCAGGATGGTTTTGAACTCAGGTCTTCCTGACTCCAGGCCCAAGTGCTCTATGTATTGAGCCACCTCAATTGCTGAGCTGCCTCAGCAAAAGATAGCTCCTTATCTGTCTCCTTCAAATAGATCTATTTGTGTTTTTGCTTTGTCTGAGATCATAATTGCTACCTCTGCCTTTTTTACTTCAGCAGAATTGTAATAAATTTTGCCCCAGGACATTTAAATTTTATGGGAATATTTCTGCTTCAAGTGTGTTTTTTATAAATACATATTGTTGTTGGCTTTTGATTTCTAATCCATTTCTATTATCTTCTTCCATTTTCTGAGTGAGTTAATCTCAATCACATTCACAGTTATACTTGGTTGTGATGTTCTTGTCAGTTTTCATTTTGGAGTTTCAGGAGGTGATCAGCGGATTCTGTCTGTTTCCATTATGTCCTCTAGTTTTAAGAGTTCTGGGGAGTTTTATGATTTCTTGAGTATATGGGATCTTTTTTGGTAATGGCTTTTAGGTAGTTTATACTGCCTCCTTTTCAAGAAGAAATTACTCAGCACCCCCCTGGAAATCTACTTTCTTTAACCCTTTAAGGGTTTTTAAAAAAAAATTACATCATTTCCAAAACTGTAAATTTTTTTTAAAAAATGACACATCTTAAATTTAATAATTTATTGTAAATTTGTGGGTTTTTTCCTGTATTGAAATTTTGATGATGCAATATTGTGTCATGTAACTATATGGTATTATAAACAAGTCATTACATTCATATGTTCCTGCTGATGCATGCTGGACTTCCTGACAAAGTGTGACATGCTGGCCTTGGAACACTTATGTGTTAAGACCTGTTGGTGGACTTGATCAGTGATTGGTTATAATTTGCATTTTGTGTGTTTATTTGGAAAATAATGTATTCGCTATAACTTTAACTCTGTTACTCACTAGATGAAACATGTATGAACAGTTTTTCAAAATTTTCTTTTCTTATCTTCTTTCCTTATGCTTCCACTGCTCCCTTATTTTTATTCATTGCCCCTCAATTGCACCTGAGGCTACTACCATGCCCCCTCCCCCCATCATTCTAATGCCCCACAGGTGGCAGTATCACCCACTTTGGGAACCTCTGGCCTAGAGGCTTGAGGGAGGAAGACCAATTAGGAGGCTGTTATAATAAACAGTCCAGGTGAGAGGTGATGAGGAGCTGAAGGGTCATATGTGAGAGATATGGAGGTAGAAATGGCAAGATTTTGCAACTGATTAGATATGTGAGGTGAAGGAGAGTGAAGAGTAAAGGATAACCGTTCAGGTTATAATCCTCAGAAGAAAAAGGGAAGTTTGGAAGAGGGGTGGAATTTGGGGAAAAGATCAATTCAGTTTTTGACATGTCTAGTTTAAAACGTCTAATAGACAAATCGAGGTGGGAAACTGAAGTTTGGGGAGTCTTGGGCTGAATATATATAAATGTATATATGTATATATACACATGCATACATACATACATATGAATATATATGTGTATATATCTATGTATGTATCTATAGTTAAAGCCATGAGGTCACTAAGCTATATATATGTATATAAATGTATATGTATATATATGTGTATGTTGTGTGTGTGTAGTTAAAAACCCATGAATTCACTAAGAGAGAGTGTAGACAGAAAAAGATTTGGGAGCTTAGGTCAGGGTTTTGGGGGATACCCACAGTTAGTGGATAATATATTTATGACAAACCAACAAAGGAGGATGAGACATTGTTAGTTAGGCAAGAGGTAGAGTCCAGGAACAAGCAGTGTCACGAAACTCTGGAGCGTGGAGAGTGTCCAGGAAGCGAGAGCAATCAATAGCATCAAGTAGAGCATACAGTTTGAGAAGGATGAGGCCTGAAGCAATAAAGACTATCATATTTGGCAATTAAGAGACCACTGATAATTTTGAAGAGAGCAATTTCAGTTGCATGTTGAGGTCATAAATCCAGACTGCAAAGCATAGAGGAATAAATATGAAGAGAAGAGTTTGAGGCTATGAATGTAGAAAGCATTTTCAAGGAGTTTGACTAAGAAAGGAAGGAGAGTATAAGATGGTAACTTGAGGGGATAATAGACCCCATTGAAAGACAGTAAGGGTAGACTTGGACTTGCTTGCAATTAGTCAGGGAGGAACTAGTCAGTGGGGAAAGGTTGAAGATTTAGGAGAGATTGAAGATGATTGAGTTTTCAGTCTTCTAGAGAAGATTGTAGGGGATAGGATCAATGGCATATGTAGAGGGGTTGGCCTTGTTAAGGAAAAGGGCCACCTCATTATCAGAGACTGGGGAAAAGGGGGGGAGTATAAGATTTTGGGATAAAAAGAAAGGAGGAGAAGGATCTCAGGTAGAATGGCTTCCATTTTTTCAGTAAAATAAGTGTAACATAGTTTCTCTGCCCCTCTGAGGCTTGTTACATTTCACACTCATGCAGGGTTCTCTGGTACCCTAAGCAGTAGAAGGAACTCTTTTCTCTAAGCCAATCTGTGTTTGCCCCATTTCAGGAGCCCGGTGACTAATATCCCAGAGCCTATTAACCAGTCAACACTAGCAGGGATATTTACTTCAAAAAATATAACAAGGACAAACACATAAACACTTCCCTTAGCACCTGTGGAACATAATCCCCTTCCCCTCCCCACCTCCATACCTCTTCTGAATTGGTCTCTGAATAGGGGAAAGGGATTAATGTAACAATTTAGATAGTTCCTAAGCTGAATTAGTCCTACTAAGTTCAAGACCAAATCCCTGCTGGGTTAGCATCCCACAGTCCCTTGCTTCCCAGAGCTTTGATGTTGGGCAGGCTGCTATATCCTACCTGGACTCTTGGACTGATAAATTCCTGTGGCTTGAGCAGCTGGGTCTGACACTACTCCCTTTACCTAGAATGGAAAAGGAAGGAGGAAAATGCTAAAAGTTAGGGCCTGTCTCAGGTGGGGAAGAAGGAAGTGGCCCAAAGTCCCTTTCCCTTAACCACATGGTGTGAATCAAGGAGTCCTTCACTCTAACATGGGAATGCAGGAAAACACCCAGGTGTGGCTGAGCCAGTGGGAAAAAGGTTGTTCCCAACCACACAGTGGCCAACACAGAATGTTCATGTATGTTCCAATCCCACAGTCTCTTGGAAGCAGATTGCCAGCATCTCTGCCATCTTAGGTGGTTTAGGCAGGTGCCAACCCTCACTCCTCTCCAATACATAAATGTAATAATCTATTTTACTAGATCATCAGTTTTTTTTTTTTCATTCTTTTAAAAAATAGATGTCGGGGGAGCTAGGTGGCCAAGTAGATAAAGCACCAGTCCTGGAGTCAGGAGGACTTGAGTTCAAATACGACCTCAGACCAAACACTTCACACTAGCTGTGTGACCCTTGGCAAGTCACTTAACCTCAATTGCCTAAAAAAAAAGGTGCCGTTTAACATTACTTTAATTTTAGCATATATCCCTGCCTTCCCAATTCATTCAGGAGCTTATCCCTCTGAATTTTTAACATTTTTTTTAAAGGAAGAAAAAAAAACCCAGCTTAGCAGGAAGTGTACAGGAAGCCCTTTGTCAGAAGACCTGTGTTCAAATTTTACATCCAACCCTTGCTACCTATGTGATTCGAAGCAAGTCACTTCTCTGGCCCCTATTTGTTCACTCAGAAATGAGAGAGTTGGATTATTGTTAGCTCCTAGAGAGCACGGGTTATTATCAACATCATCATTTTTTTTTAACTTTTCTTAGTATCCCCAGCAGTTACCACAGTGCCTGGCACATAGTAGGCGCTTAAGAAATGTTTATTGACTAAGATAGGGACCCTTCTAGCTCTAGATCCATGAATGGAGTATAACAGCATACATAACATTCCAAACCTATTCCAAACTCTTCTTCTTCAGGGGAGGGGTCACTTAATTTTAAGCAGTGTCACTATTATTCACTACAGCTTAATATGTTTGCGGAATAGAATTGCAAGAGACTTACACTTACTAATAACAAAGAATGTTTGTTGACAAAATGAATGAAATTAGCGACGATGTGGGTCAGATGGGAGAGTGGGTGTGTATCTCTTTAGTCACCTAAAGTGCCCAGAAGTACCAGGTCTGGGCAAGTCTGCAGGGTGGAGCGAGCCCCAGAGCGAGGCTGAAACTGATTGGTATCTGAACGTCCGGAGGTGGGCGTGGGTGGGACGGCCTCAGCGCTGCGGAGCAGGCGGGGAAGGCGGGGTGGGGGACGGGCCGGAGGCGGGCACTAGCCTCGCCCCTCGCTGGCGGAGAGAGGCCGAACTTGCTGCATTGCAGCCGCCGCGGCGCCGCTCCACTCCTCCCGGATAACAATGGCGGCTCCGAGCCCGAGCGGCGGCAGCGGGAGCGGCTCTCCCGGCGCCGTGGGGCCCCCCGGGCCAGGCCACACGGCCGTCAGCAGCATGCAGGGTAAGGAGCACCTCCTCGCCCCGCCCCAAGACCCCCGAGCTGCCAGTAGCGGCCGAGGCCTCGCTCTCTGCCTCCCTCCTTCTCCACCCCATAAGCCCCCCCCCTCCGCCCCGCCGCGGGCTTTCCTGGCCTAGTAGGCGCCGCTTTTGGGCCTGGTTGTCCCGCCGGCCCCGGAGCTTCCTCCCGCAGCCTCGGTCTCGCAACCCCCCGCCGCTCCTGGAACCTCCCTGTAGCCCCGACCCTGGTCGGCCTCTGCCTCTCACCTGGCGCCCCGGCGGCTCAGGCCCCAGGGCTCAGTGCCCTCAGCAAGAGCCCTCCAACCTGGGGATGGTTTCGTACCCCCTCCCCCCGCCCCCGGGAGGGCGAAGGCGAGGAGGAGGAAGAGGAAGAGGAAGGCCATGCTAAGCGCCTAGCAGCCTCTCCTCCGTAACTCTGCTTAGAACAAATGCTTCGTGACTTTGGAGTGAATTGGCTTTTTGGCTGGGAGTGGGGGGAGGGGGCATCGAGCCAAAGTTTCACGCCTCCCCCAGTACCTGCCCCTGGGAATGAGGTGCGAAGGTGTTTTTTTTTTCCTGGTTGTGGTGGCAGTCCCTTCCATGCAGGCCTTTTTGCTTGAACTTGGATGTTAGAAAATTGGAAACTTTATTTAAACCAAAGAACACAAACATATACATTGTTGTGCCACTACCTCTCCTGTAGATCCCTAGCTTTTGAAAACATCTTTTAAGAATATGTTTTTTGTTTATTTGTTTTTGGCAATGTTAACTGATCTTAACAGATGCAGAAATAGGGTGACCGAGGGTTCAAGTCATGGCCTCTAACCCGTACTAGCTACTGTATGACCGTGGGCTAGGCGATTGATCAGTTAGTGCCCCGGGCAATTTTCTCAAAATTATAAACTACAGATGAATTGCTAGGGTGAAATCACAAGTCTTGATCCTCCTCCCACCCTCTCTAGCCCCCCCATCCCCCCCCAAAAAAAGTCTGAAGCCTTTGACAGAATTAATTTTAATATTATGTGATTGGGGTTTGGGAGCTGTTGAATGCAGGATGTTTGTTTTGTGTAGCCTTAGAAATCTCTGGTAACTTTTTACGGGGTACAGTTCTATGGTAGCCAGTATTGACTACTGTGACATTTTGGTTGCTCTCCTGAAACAGTTGGTCGTTAATATTTATTAAGTACCTCTTACATACAAGGCATTGTGCTAAGTGGTGAGGATACAAGGAAAGGCAAAAAACAGTTCCAAGTCCTAGCTCTAGGAGCTCGCAATCTAAATGGATAAGACAAAACACAGTTGTGTACAAACACAAACAAGATGGATACAGGATAAATTGGAAATAATCATTAGAAGAAAGGAACTAATATTAAAAGGGATCAGAAAAGACTTCTTTTAGAAAGTGAGATTTCAGCTTGAAGTTAAAGGAAGGCAGGAATTGTAGGAATTGGAGATAAGAGGAAGACCATTCAATTTGGACAGTAGATATCCCTATACTTGTAAACTTCTATCTATCAAACAGAAGTACTCAGTCCTGTGGGTTTATTTTAATACTCAGATATTATCAATATTCTTATTTCTTCCATCAGCGTAAATCATGACTTATTTGTATTTTTTAATCTTGTGTGGTTCTTGTTTATGTTCAGTAGACCCTCCACAAAGGATCTGTCCTGCCTTCGAGAGGTATTCTTTGGCGCTTTTAAAATGTTATGGGTACCATTGCAGCATTTGGGCTAACTGTTGTTCCTTCCCTTCACCCACTTGACCCACTAACCTTTTTTGGATCATATATCTCCTTGATGATACTGCTTAGGCTATTTCTTTTTAGGTATGTAATAACTGGAAATATAGGCAGCCTACTTGAATCAACCATCTGTGTTAGATACATTACTTTCTCTCAGTGGCACTGCATTCTAGTTGGGGAAAAAAGACAAACATCAAAGAGTTAAATAAGACAAATTATTGTAAAGTGTCAAATGAAGTCTAGAGGCAACATGGTGTAGTGCAAAGAATGATGAACTTTGAGTCAAGGACCAGAGTTCATATTCTGTCTCTACCATTTGCTACCTGTGTGACCTTGGGCAAGCCACTTAAACTATCTGGGCTTTAGTTTTCTCATCTCTAAAATGTGGGGTGGGGATGTTGGATTAGATTGCCTTCAAGGTCCTTTCCTCATTTAGGTCTATGAACCTTTAAATCAGTGGTGTCAATCTTAAATAGAAGTGGGGGCCGCAGGGACAGCTAGGTGGTACAGTAGATAGCAGACTAGCCCTGGAATCAGGAGGACCTGAGTTCAAATGTGACCTCAGACACACTAGCTGTGTGATCCCGGGCAAGTCACTTAACCCCATTGCCTAGCCAAACGAAAGAAAGAAGAAAGAAACCAATAAACTATACTTAAATGAACCAATAAACTACTTAAGAATTCCTTATGTTTTATTGTATTTTCATTTTGTTAAATATTTCCAATTACATTTTAATCTGGTTCAGGCTGCACTGAGGAGGGGGCTGCATTTTGATACCTTTGCTTTAAGGATTCGTAAAACCTTGGCTTTATTTGCACTACTCACTTCACTTAACTCTGTCGTCTTGACGGACCAGACAATCCCTGAGAGACCTTTTAGGTTGAAGTGGCCTTAACTGTAAAGAGGTCACATGAGTGTTCTGTTGTTTTAACTTAAGAAGACAAAATTATTTAAAAAAAATATCAAATGAAGTTTCAGGGAAAGTGTCTAGTCCCAGAAGTGTCTAGAAGGTAGCAGGACATTGGGGGAGCTGTGTGGAAAGAGCATTGGATTTAGAGTCAGAGGACTTGGGTTTAAATCCTGATTCTGCTACTTAGTGCCATTGTGACAATTACTGAAATTCAGCAAACATTTAAGTGCCTGTGTGCCATGAAGGTACTCTGCTAGGCACTAGGGATACAAAAACAAAGATAAAACAGCCTTTGTTTTTAAGGGGGAAGGAAGCTAAGTGGCTCAGTGGATAGAGGGCTGGGCCTGAAGTCAGGAAGACCTGGGTTAAAATTCTGGCCCCAGACACTAGCAGTATGACACTCGGCAAGTCACATAACTTCTCTTTGCCTTAATCCATGGTAGAATGAAATGGCAAACCACTCCAGTATCTTTGCCGAGAAAAACCTCACAGATAGTATGATCCATGTGGTCATAAATAATAGGACACAATTGAACAAATATTTTTAACGGGCTTTTTACTGAGGTTACATTATATCAATCTTTATGATAATCCCCAACTCTCAGATTCTGTGATACTGTGAGTCAGGCATTTATTAAGTGCCTTCTATATGTTAGATGCCATCATGAAGGGGGGGAAAGATTATGTATACCTGTAAGTATATATGTATATGTGTGTGTGTGTGTATGTATATATAAAATAAATAAACAAGATAATCTGGGAGTTGTAGGTAATAACTTGTCAGGATCAAAAAAGGACTTGTGTGGGAAGAGCACTTAGGTTGAGTTTTTGAACTAGGGATTCTGAGAGGTGGAGTTGAGGGAGTACAGTATAATTGGGAGACAGCCTGTGGAAAGGGAAGGGATGTGAGAGATGGAGTATTGTCAGTGAGGTGCAGAAAGAATTACCAGTTTGACTGAACTTCATGTAGGAAGGAGCACATGAGCTGAGGTGGAATGATTCTAAAGACTGTAAGAGGCAGAAAGAAGTGTTTTTCAGGAATAGAGGACAATCTGAAAAGGCAAAATCTTGGTGGCTTTTTGAGTTTTGAAAACAGTTATGCCAATTTAACTGGAATATAAAGTATATGAAGAAGAATATGCAACAATCCTGGAAAAGTAGGTGGGATCTAGTTTGTGAACGGCATTAAAATCTGAGCTGAAGAGTTTTAATTTTTCCCAGAGGTAGTAATAGTGAGTCACAGAAAATTTTTGAGTTGGGAGTGACATGGTCACACTTATGTCTGAAAAAATCTTAATTTAGCTGCTTTATGAAGGCTGGATTGGCATCGAGATTAGAAGACAGTGTGTTATGGAACTGATTAAATATGGAGTCAAGACTGGAAAGAAATGTGTAGGGGTGATTAATTTAAAGAATTGGTACAGTGGAAAGAACACTGCTTTTGGAGTCAAAGAGACAAATTGGCAGACTATTGCAATAGTCTCCTTTTGCTTAGGGTGATGAATGTTAGTGGAGAGAAGGGGATGATTGTGAGAGATGGTAGAATCAATTAGATTTAGCAACTGATTGGATTGTAGGGATAAGGGAAAAGAAAGAGTTGAGGATGGATGGCTTTTCCTTTGAAAACCTGGGTGACCGGAAGGATGATGGTCACTCAGCAGAAATAGTGAAGTCTGCAGGAGGGAACAGTTTGGGGATACATTCCATTTTGGAGATGTTGAATTTGAGATTTCTAGGTTTCAGTTTCCTCCTATAAAATGAAGATGTTGGATTAGATTATTTTTAAGTTCATTTAAAAATGTTTTGATCTTACAGTTCTTTTTAATTTGACGAAGAATAATTAAAGGAGATCAAAGCCTGTTTACGTCCAATTTGTTCTTCCATCAAAACTTTCTCCCAGGATCGTGGGGTGGGATGGTGAGGCTTGACTCAGAGCCTTTTGAGACTGTCTAATTTTTCCATGTTATATGGATGATTTCTAGTCCTGATGGATCAACTCAACTTAACAGTTCTTTATTAACGGCCTGCCGCATGCAGAATATTGTACTGGACAGTCAATCACACACAGAATATAATAGTTTCTTCCCTTTGCTGTAGTGCTATATAGGATCATAGATTTAGAACTGGAAAGGTGAAGCTCCTTCATTTTACAGATACTAATAAGAATAATACAGTAAAAGAGAAATTCAGCATTGCCTTAGTAGATATGGGGAAAACTAGGAAAGAAATTGAACTTTAGCTGAGCCTTAAAGAAGATCAGAGATTCTCAAAGATGTGATGAGGACAGAGTGCGTTCCAGGAATGGGGGCCAAAATGTATTTACAGGGAGATACTGTGCTGAATTCAGGATTCTTAGTAGTTCAGTTTTGCTTACCTTAGAATCTGTGAATGGAAAGAGTATGAAATGACACTGAAAAGGTAAGTTGGAGCCTGATTGTGTAAGGCCTTAATGCCAAGATGAGGAGTTTATTTTATCCCTGAGAGAAAGTAGAGAGACATTTAAGATTGTGATTTGAGAATGGGCATGGTCCTGTTACTTAAGAAGATTATTTTTGGTAGCTCTATGGAGGAGGCAGCATGATGTAGTGCATTAAGTTTGGAGTTAGTAGGACCTGAGTTCAAATCTAGTTTCAGATCAGACCCTTGACACTTACTAGCTGTGTGACCCTGAGCAAGTCATTTAACCCCAGTTGCCTTGCCAAAAAAAAAAAGAGGAGAGAGAGATTTGGAGTTAGGAAAACCTGGGTTCATACATATTCTTCCTTAGACACCCACT